GGGGAGGGAGGGGGAAAATGAGCTGACACCAGGGGCTCAAGTGGAAAGCGGGTGTTGTGAGAATGATGAAGTCAACATATGTACTAATGTGCTGGACACAAATGAAATATGTACGGATTGTGATGAGTTGTATGAGCCCCTAATAAAATGACTATTTAATTAAATAAATAAATATGTTTTAAAATGATATATTTGGATTTTCTATAAAAGTAAGCAATGAAATTACCAGTTCATCAAAAATATCTTTTAAAGATGAAACATATATTTACAGCTATTTAAAAATTGGTTAATAAAAATGCCTGGTAATAATCTTCTATTATATTGTATGTCTTCTAACAATCATATATTTCATGTAAACAACTAAATCTAAGTGATATTTTTTACATTTACCTTTTGAAAGTAATTTTACATTATTAGCTTTTCTGTAAGATTTATTTGCCATTTTTTGCACCCTGATACTTCTAACACTGTTGAGAAAAATCAATTCTTGGGTTTAAGATCTTCTCAGCATCTCTAATAAATATTGAGTTATTTAAATAAAAAAAAGAAAGAAAGAGAGAAATTTGAAAGTGACAGAGTCTCAAGGTTGTGTGTGTTTTTAGAATCAGAGTGGTGAACGGAAGTGATTCAAAGCGGAATCTATAAGATGATAAATTGTGTAAAAGATCCAGAATGGCTCATGGCACTCTATGGGACTTGAGCTTTTAACATTTGCTTATTTATTTATTGACGGATGTCAGAAATCTCTCAGGCTTGGGAGGCTGAGAGCACTTACCTTCAATGGTACACTGGTCAGGAACAGGAATCTTCTTCCCCATTTCCATGGCATACGCTTTCACTTTATTGAGGTTCTCCTTTAAATGTAAGTAGAGCTTGTCTTGGGGTCCTACAGGACTTGTGGCTGTCTCTGGCGCTCCTTCCTGGAAGGGCCCCTTAATGGTTTCCGGCACATTCTCTGGTTCTAGATGTTCAACACTGAGGTGGGAAGCCAAAGAGTTTTGCAGCTGTGATCTGTCCATGTCTGCCTTGAAGGATGCTTGGTCCTCTTCTTGGCTAAGTGGGTCTAGTTCTGAAAGAGAGATCCTGGCTGGTGCATCACCAATCTCCACATCGTCCTCATTGTCTGGACTCACACCTTTGGCTAGCCCAGTGTGCAAAGCCAAACTTTTTGACCTATAACACAAACAAGGAGAAGCACAGATGGTTAACGAACTTGAACTGTGATCTACTGACAAGGAAAATAAAGGATAATAGTAGTCAGGCAGAGGGCTCCCGTCATCTAGAGGGGAAACTGAACATTAGCAGAGTTCACAGTGGTACAAGCTGCGTTACCAAGCAGAACTTGGAAAATCGAGTCCACCTTCCAAAACAAAGATGACTAAGCAAGGCCATGGCCAGGCCGGCTGCAAATGCTGGCTTTTTGCAATGCTCTATTTTTCAACTTGTGCACCTGCTTTCTCATCAGAAATCAAGGGACACCTTTGACAGCCAATCTCAATATTGGTACCAACCAAACTCCAAACTTACTACCCCCAAGTCGATGCTGACTCACAGCAACCCTGCAGAACAGGGTAGAGCTGCCCCGGTGAGTTTTTGAGACTGTCCTTGTTTACAGGAATGGAAAGCCCATCCCTTTGTCCATGGAGCAGGTGGTGGTTTTGAACTGCGGACTTTTGGATGGCAACCCAACACATAACCACTATGCCATCACAGCTCCTTCCATATTGGGATCTCCAGATTTAAAAAGCATTTCTTAGAAACGAGTCACATTTACTTTCCATTCATATTTCCCTACTTAAAATAATGCTCCTTAGAACAAATGCAAGTGCCATGGATAACATTTCATTCTGGAAAGGTCAGAATGTGGGGTGGCTATATTGGTAAGATCCTTCCAAAGCAGGCCTATCCCCAGCACAACGGAACTGATAGCGAGCATGAAGTACATACTTAGGAAAACCAGCCAAACACAAGGTATACCTGTTAAATCGAAGGCCTCTCCTTTCTTCCTTAGGAACGTGGCCCAGGCTGTGTCTTCGGAGAGAGCCAGTGGTGGCGCTCTCGGGATTTACTTGCTCTTTAAATGCCTGTGGTTTCACGAGGAGCCTCGCGGGATCATCGTTTTCACCTACGGCAAGCTTGGTCTCTTCCAACTTCTTAGGAGATTCAATTTCAGGGCTGGATTTTCTCCTAAAGGAATAAAAATCATTGCTTTACATGGTGGTCACACATCACCTTC